TTGTTCTTAGATGATGATATAGTGGTCCAAAAGGATCTTACTCCTCTTTGGTATCTTAACCTAAAGGGAAAGGTGATTGGTGTGGTTGAGACATGTGGAGAAAGCTTTCACCGCTTTGATCGTTACCTCAACTTTTCGAATCCTCTTATTTCAAAAAACTTCAATCCCCGTGCTTGTGGTTGGGCATTTGGAATGAATATCTTTGATCTTAAGGAATGGAGGAAGCAAAATATCACGGGGGTGTACCACAAATGGCAGAATCTGGTAAGACAAGTATACTTTTTTTAAGACAACTAGTGTAACCTGTTTTTACATGCTCCTTTTTTTTTTTTTTATTTGACAACATGAACTAAGCTATAAGTTAATATGCTTTCAAACTAACATTTGGGCATGAAACTAATGCCTAAACTGGGAAATGGCCACATAAATTTATTAGTCAATTGAATTCTGAGTGTATTGGCTTTGCATATTCAATTAGTGGTATATAGTACATTGTTTAACATCTACTGCATGTGAACATTTTGATTTCTGAAATTTTGCTTTTTGGAATTTTGTCTCTAAACCTGAAGCAAATTTGTCTGTATTGTGCTCAGAATGTTGACAGACTGTTATGGAAACTCGGGACTCTGCCGCCTGGTTTGATAACCTTTTGGAACCAAACTTATGCGCTGGATAAATCTTGGCATGTCTTGGGCCTTGGTTATAATCCAAGTATATCCCAGAAGGAGATTGAGCGAGCAGCAGTCGTGCATTACAACGGCAACTTGAAGCCATGGCTTGAGATGGGCATACCTAAGTTTCGTAACTATTGGGCAAAATTTGTTGACTACGATCAAGTATATTTGCGGGAATGCAACATCAGTCCTTAAATGTCAGTTATGATTTCTCGTATCCCTTCTAACGGTGGCGGCGATTTGCATCACAGGTCCTGCTCCTTACCTATTCCAAAATAGTATCTATTTAGTCGAACAATTAGCAAAGTATTTTGTCATTTTTTAACATTTATTATTATTCGTGGTTGCAGTGCTGCTACGTTTGTAAATGATCGAAATCATAGTAGTTTCTCTTTTTTCCTTTGCTTCGATTCGTTTTATTTGTACGTCATCTAAAGGCCATGTATATGAGATCACTTTCTTGAGTACCCTTCGTTGCCATTTCGTCTCTCAGAATCTGTCTCGACTAACTCAAGACTGCTAGCTATCTTTTGATTTTAATTATCTGTAATCAATTATGCAGTATTACTTGTACAATTCTTGTTGCTTCTTGTCAACTTTCTGCTCAAGTCCTAAACAGTAGTGAAGAAAAGTAAAAAATCTACAGGTATTTTTTTTTTGGTATAAAGCCCCTGTTTGGTTAGCTTAAAAATAGATTTTTAGCAAAATTTGATAAAAGTTTATGATATGCGTGACTGAAAGTGAGTTTGAGGAAAAATAAGTTCTAAAAGTGGGGGCCAAACATGGGCTAAGTATCTTGTGAATCACTTTACTGGTATACTACACTGTATGTTCATAATTGTCCTTTTAATATCTCCCTGCCGACAGTGCTCAAGGTGCAAACCATTTGTATAGGATTCTATCAATCTTTATTTGATCATGTGGACCAGCTGGAGTTTGAACATGTTTGATATGCTCGACTCAATGGTGACGAATAATTTTTTGGTGCATAAGAAACCATCCTTGGTGGGGTTTTATTCATTTATTATAATGGCCATGTATGCATACTGGGCAGTTGGGAGCTGGACAGGGTGTCCATGACAGTAACAGTGGTGGGGACGGTTATTTATGGTTGGTACGCTCCAACCGTGCTTACGTGTAACTCCTACCATCATAAATTTTAGAGAAATGTTATCCAACATTATCGTTGTCAAGCAACAATTTTGGTGGTAATTGCATGTCATTGAATAATGAGTTCACTTAAATGTAATCTCACATAATTCATTTAATTGAATTTATCAAGTGTGTTTATCAATCTATACTATTGGTGTACCGTAGTACCCCAGTCGTGTTGTATGATTTGAATGTCGAGTGATGGATGGTGGTGGGGTGATTATTTTCGTGGTTTGGGCCGATATGATATGCATTCGATTCATGTAGTCGAATTTGAATATGATGTTTTGTTTTTTATTATATTAAAATTTAAAGGGATAGGACATACAGGGCATGTTTGGTAGGTTTTACTATCTAGATCTGTTTCTTTTAAAAGGTCTTTTAGTTTCAAACATATTTTTAAATAATTTCTTAAGATTAGAAGTGGTTTTTGACTTTTTAAGAGCCTGTCAAACAGGCCCTTGATAATTGGTTTAACAGGTAATTGACCAATTATATGAAAAATTTATCATTCCAGCCAACAAATACTCATTTCATATGCTAAGGAAATGGAATTGCAAGTGGTTCTTCAATGACTTAATATGAGAAAATTAGGTCCAACACATTTTTCTAAACTAAAAACGAGTCTATTGAAAAATAATTTGAGAGATCATACCTAAAGGCTAAAAGTGCTGTTTTCAAATAAGAAAAAAAATTAAAAAGTCGTGTTTTAAGGGTAACAAAGTTTTGAGTTTTCTGCTATTCAACACGATTTACATCAAAAGAAACTACCGAACAGTAAGCTGAGGAAGAAGACGACAGTGAAATCACGAAGTACTGCAAAATACAACCTTCAAAGAACTTATCAATTAAATCACGAAAATAGAAGAAAAAGAAGAAACCTTCAAAATCAGAGCCCCACTGGCAGTCGCCGGAGCCGGCGCCGGCATTCGTCTTCCAGCAACGGCTAACTCCGTACTTTATTCAGCAAGGTAAATTTGATCAAACTCAAACCTGTACTATAATGCTGATCGGATATGATGACGATGAGGAGGAAAACTATATATGTTTCGATTCCCCGTGGAGATTGGTCGGTCTGCTCATTAGAGTTCCGGACTTCGAAACTTCTGTGTTTCAAGAACTTCAGGTGCTTTTTCAGTTAAATTTCACTCTTATGTTATCCTGTAATGTGTTTATATGCAGTGCAGAAATACTTTTTTTTTTTTTTTTTATCTTTCCACATTACTGGGTCTGATAATTTAATTATGGCCCAGAGTTTCGAAATTTTTCTTGACGTTGATTATTGGTTTTGCGTAGAGTCTGAACTCTGAAGGAAGAACTACCCAGTGACTTTGCTGAAACATGCGACAATCAAATATCGTTAGCATATTGAGGTTAAAGTTTATTGTAAAATAATTGCCTAAAAAGTGTTTGGCTCTGCTATTGTAGTATGTGCATGTTTGGTTTGCACATTTATATCACAATCTACTAAAAAATCTAATTTTAATCTCCACCAAACATCCTTGTTTCGTTCTGGTGACTGTCGATACCTAATCTCCACCAAACTATCCTTTTGCTTGGTTCTGGTGACCATCGATACCTAAATGTTTTATGGTTGCTTTATCTTTTTACCTATATGGCAATTGTATTTAAAATACTCGGGAACTAGTAAATAGCCACTTTGGTTTGGCTTGATATCGACCCGTAGAACTTTTTGATTTGTCTTTCTATGTTGTGAGTGTATACTGTAATTTGATTTCAACTTATTAAAATATATATAAGTTGGTTTGTTTTTTTAGATTGGTTTAGTTCGTATTGCATGGGGGATGATGTCGACTTTTTTTAAAAAAATTTGGTTGTTAACTTTAGTTGTTCATTTAAAACGATTATCATCATCTTAGGAAAAGATTTATAGTCATTATTTTATGGATTTGTAATTAAATTTGGTATTTATTTCTTCAACCTTTAGCCCTTGTTTGATTCTCAATTTTTTTTTTTTTTTTTTCAAAATGAAATTTTCTCTATCTTATTTTCAACCATAGATTCTTAAATAAAGTAATATTACATGCAAACTCAAAATTTTTCTTTTATTTTTAACCATACATTCTCCGTTAATCTGATATTCCAAAATACACTCTTAATCTTTTAATGGGGCTCAAAGATGCTCTTAATATATTTTGTTTAAAAATGTACAAGAAAATGAATGATAAGTGTGTTTTTTACACACTTATTTGGCCACAAAACAAACACACTTATTTGGCCACAAAACATGAATAATTGTTTATCAAAGCGTTTGAATTATGACTTGTAATTATATTTTGTAGGACTATATTGATAAATGTGACGGAATTCAAAAGAAAAGAAACGAAAAATGATAAAAAAAAAAAAAAGAAATCCAAAGTATGAGGACTAAGTTGCAACATTTCAATAGTTGATTTAGACTCCAAAATGAAGATTAAAGATATTGCGAGTTCAGTTGGATGTAATTCAAAGTCAAATGGTTGAAAATGTAAGAGAAAGGGCTTGAAAGAATCAAAAATCGATTTCGAGAGCTAAAATGCAACATACGGAAGAAATTTTGCCTGGGCGGCAGCCCAGTTATAAAAACCGGGCGATCGCCCATATGTTTTTCTTATTACCGAGAAGAAAATGTTGGCCTGGGCGACAGCTCGGGTTATGTCTCAGCGACAGCTCAGGCCAATCGCGACGAAAATTTTCTGGTTTCCTTTTCTGATTAAAACTCTTATGGAAACAAATTTTGGGACTCTTTTAAAACCCGAGGGACGTCCAAAAACAAGTAGAACGCATTGGGAGGCAAGAAACCACATATTGGAGAGGATTTTGAGTGGAATTAACGAAGGATTGCACGAAGATCAATAAGATTTATCAAGAATTTATATCCCGGTGATGCCTCCTCTTCAATATATGATGTATTTCGATATTATTTTTATGTTAGGCTAGATTTACATGTACTAGGAGATCGATATACCATGTGATGAGATCTTTAAATTTCTAGTTTTACAATTTAACATCAAAACACATTTTGATTCTTTGAATGATTTATATGCAATTATTGTTTACCGCAATTAAGGGCCCGTAATTGTGTGAGTTTGGGTGACTTGTTCTTGCTTTCGAGAGAAGTAGAATAGGTTCGACACTTAGGGTCCAATAGGAGATAGAAATATACCGTTATGCCCTACGTGAATCTATAAGTGCTTACAAAATAGCATGCATTTTTATATATGCACTTGTCATAGAGATATAAGCCGGTGGTTTGTAAAAATAGGTTCAATACATCTCGAGAGAGAGTATTGGATAGATTTAGGAGCATTGATTCATCAACAACTCAATCGTATTGTCACATTGTAAAATTAGGGTTTAAGATGATTGTTGCATGGGAAATTGTGATCCTAGTACGCTTAATTTACATTGAATACTACAAATTTGCATTTCCAACAGTTGTTTTGCATTCTAGGTTGTTAAAAATCGTGTCTTGCATATTAATCTCATTTCAATCGTAAAAATTGCGTAAATTAGGGTTTGCATTCCAATTTAGGGGTTTCTTTCTAAAATTAGGGTTTAATTAGCTAAAAATTCACATTGAGTAATTTAGTTTCGGTTAAGGCTACGATAGGTGAAACTCAACTACTGAATCTCTGTGGGACGATATTCGGACTCTAGAAATCCACTTTATTACTTATTAACGAATCGTGTACTTGCGGTGATTTTAATCGAAAGAAAATATTTCATGAACAAGTTTTTGGCGCCGTTTCCAGAGATAGAGTTTAGTTTGATTTTATTTTTTTGTAGGCACTAATTCAAACTTTAATTTTAGTTTCTCTTTTAGTTTATTTTGGCTTTGTTTTGTTTTTATTATTCGATCTATCTTTTTAGTGTCTAAGTGCTACTCTTGTTTTTCTCTCAGATTTGTATCGAAGTGGAGTGCAATTACCTGAAATAGGTGTCAAGAGGCCGACTGTGATTGAAGAGGCAACGTCTCTTGCAGAAGAAGAAACTGTTGAACTAGATAAACAACCAAAGGAATCAACTCCAGAGGAAAATTCAGAAAAGTCACGGGATAAAGTCAAAGTTACAGTCAACTCATACGAGCCTCCAATTCCTTTTCCATGGCGATTGAAGAAGCATAAAATGGAGCAGCAGTACAAGAAGTTTCTAGAAGACTTCAAAAAGCTCCATATCAACATCCCACAAGCCCATGCACTCTTCCAGATGTCTAGCCATGTGAAGTTTCTCAAGGATATTCTGTCAAATAAACGCAAGCTAGAGGACCATAAGACACTAATGTTTACAGAGGAATGCAGTGCCAAAATCCAGAAAAAGCTCCCACCAAAATTGAAAGATCCAGGGAGTTTTATTGTTCATTGCACTATTGGTGAAATTTATTTTGATAAAGCCTTATGTGACCTTGGCGCAAGTATTAATTTAATGCCTCTGTCTATTTTTAGGGAACTTGGCTTGGGAGAGGCTAAAGCGACTACTGTTACACTTCAGCTGGCTGACACATCTCGAAGTAATAATTGAAGATGTGCTTATCAAGGTTGAAAAGTTTATATTCCCTGCAGATTTCCTCATATTGGACGTAGAAGAAGACAAGGATGTCCCTTTGATACTCGACATACCAATCTTGGCTTCAGGGAGAGCTTTTATAGATGTTCAAAGAGGGTCGTTGATCTTAAGATTGGGAGAGGAGCAGATAGCATTCAATGTCTTCAAGGCCATGAAACTTCCAACAGAATCAGATAGCTGTTTCCAAGTTGATATCATTGACAAAGCAGTAGAAGAGACATTCTTGCTTCACGGCCTACCCGATGCCTATGAGGCATGTATTGCACAGTCCCAATCAACCTAGTCAGATTTTCTTGAGATTGAAACATGCACAAGGTTCTTAGAAACCAACCTACCATACACACGAAAGAGGCAATTCCAGGAACTGGGGATAGGAACTACAAAGCCACTGGCTTCCATTCGGAAACTGCTAATTTTGGAACTCAAGCAGCTGCCACCACACTTAAGATATGCATATTTATGGGGAATCAGGTACACTTCCAGTGATTATCTCGAACACAGTCAGTGAGGTGGAGGAAGAAAATTTGCTTAGGGTACTTAAGGAAAATAAGACGGCGATTGGGTGAACGATACTGACGTAAAAGGATCAGCCCTTCTTTGTGTATTACAAAATTCTCATGGAGGAAAATTGTAAGCCAAGTATAGAGGACAGAGAAGACTGAATCCAAACATGAAGAAATAGTATGTAGGCATTATTTACCCAATCTCAGATAGTGCATAGATTAGCCCAGTTCAAGTTGTGCCGAAGAAAGGGGAAATTACAGTGGTTCAAAATGAGAAGAATGGGTTAATCCCCACTAGAACAATAACAAGATGGAGAGTTTGTATCGATTATCGTAAACTCAATGCAGCTACTCAAAAGGATCATTTTCCACTACCATTTATTGACCAGATGTTGGAGAGATTAGCAGGGCATTCACACTACTACTTTCTTGATGGATACTTGGGCTACAATCAGATACCAGTCGCACCAGATAATCAGGAGAAGACCACTTTCACTTGCCTCTATGGCACTTTTGCCTATCGTAGGATGCCTTTTGGCTTTTGCAATGCTCCTGCCGCATTCCAAAGATGTATGATGGCAATATTCTCCGATATGATTGAAAGGTTTATCGAGGTGTTCATGGACAACTTCTCAGTATTTGGATCTTCATTTGATAAATACTTGGAGTACCTGAATTTGGTATTACAAAGACGTAAAGAGACTAACCTTGTTTTGAATTAGGAGAAATGCCACTTTATGGTGCAAGAAGGCATCGTACTTGGGCATTGAGTTTCAGCAAAAAGAATAGAGGTGGACAAGACAAAAATTCAGGTTATTGAGAAGTTACCACCGCCTACATCAGTTAAAGGGGTTCGCAGTTTCTTGGGGCATGTGGGGTTCTACAGGAGATTCATAAAGGATTTCTCAAAGATCACTAAGTCGCTATGCAATCTGTTAATGAAAGACGTACCCTTTGAATTTAGTGAAAAATGTCTCACAGAATTCAACACTTTGAAGAAGAAACTCACGACATCACCGGTAATTGTGGCACCAGATTGGGAGCTATCTTTTGAATTAATGTGTGATGACAGTGATCACGCCGTGGGTACAGTTTTGGGACAGCGGAGAAACAAGGTTTTCCATGCGATCTACTATGCAAGCAGAACTCTAAATAAAGCACAGATCAATTATGCCACCACTGAAAAGGAGCTTTTGGCTGTGGTATATGCATTTGATAAGTTTAGGTCATATCTTGTGGGATCTAAGGTCATTGTCTACATAGATCATGCTGTACTGAAGTATCTGCTCACAAAAAAGGGATGCAAAGCCGAGATTGATTCGTTGGCTGTTATTGCTGCAAGAATTTGATATCAAAATAAGAGATAAGAAGGGCAGTGAGAATGTAGTAGCAGACCACATATCCCGATGGGAATCTGGGGAGACAGAAGAATTAGTGGACATCAATGAGATAGTCCCAGATGAGCAGATGTTGAGAGTAGATGTAGCACCTTGATATGCAGACATCGTCAACTACTTAGCCAGATCCATCCCACCGCCTGATTACTCAAGTTACCAAAGGAAAAAATTCTTCTCCGAACTGAAGTACTATTTTTGGGAGGATCTAATTCTCTATAGGCGAAGGGCTGATCACATAATAAGGAGATGCATACCTGAAGAAGAAATACCCGAGATTCTTGAGCACTATCATTTATCTACATATGCAGGTCACATTTTGGGGCTTCGAAAACAGCTGCAAAGATCTTGCAATCAGGGTTTTACTGGCCTACACTGTTTAGGAACACCTTCGAGTTTGTCAGGAGGTGTGACAGATGTCAACGCACTGAAAATATCTCAAGGAGGAATGAAATGCCACTGAATAACATTTTGGAAGTAGAGATAGTTGATGTCTGGGGAATTGACTTCATGGGACCTTTCCCTCATTCGTTCTCAAATCAGTACATCTTGATAGTTGTGGATTATGTACCTAAATGGGTGGAAGCAGTTGCACTACGATGCGAAGGCAGTGACTGGATTCTTGAAAAAGTATATTTTCACTCGATATGGTACATCGTGGGCTATAATCAGTGACGGGAGCAAACACTTCTGTAATCGCCAGTTTGAGCAATTGTTGAATAAATATGGCGTAAAACACCGCGTAGCTACCTCATATCATCCACAAACCAGTGAGCAAGTCGAAGTATCTAATCGACAGTTGAAGAGAATCTTGAAGTTACAGTGAATTCATCAAGAAAAGACTGATCGAAAAAGTTGGACGATGCATTGTGGGCTTACAGGACAGCATTCAAGACACCAATAGGCATGTCTACATACTGCCTAGTTTTTGGAAAAGCGTGTAATCTGCCACTAGAGATTGAACACCAGGCATATTGGGCTGTGAAACAGTTAAACATGAATTTGAATGCCGCCGGTGAAAAGCGTCTACTACAGCTTAATGACTTGGATGAATTCAGAATGGAAGCATATGAAAACTCAAAGCTCTACAAAGAACGAACCAAAAAGTGTCATGACATGCATATTCAAAGGCGAGAGTTCGAAGTGGGGCAGAAATTTCTATTATATAACTCGAGACTCAAGCTTTTCCCTGGAAAATTAAGGTCAAGGTGGTCGGGTCCTTAGATTGTCACTAAAGTTCTTCCATATGGAGCCATACAGGTCAGCCATGAAACAAAAGGTACATTCACAGTCAATGGAAAAAGGCTGAAACACTACTGGGACGGTAACTTCTCCAAGCAAAAGTCCACTGTTCAACTCGATGCGCCTAATTGAAGCAGAAGTGGGAAAGTCAAGCTATCGACTATAAACTAGCGCTGGGTGGGAGGCAACCCACTGTATCCTTTTAATTTTTTTTTCTTTTTGCATTAGCTTAGGAATCTTTCAATTTCTCGTTCACATTCTTTGATAGTTAGGTCATCGATCATCCATAGATGTCAACAGAGTCTAAGCATGGTCCACACAATTTTCAATGCATTGAGCACGAGTCATAACTATGGATACGATATTTTGGTGGTTGGGTGTGAGTTTCATGTATTTTGAGACACAAATGAGGTTGTCTAAATTTTTTAGGGATCAAAGTGTGTTTTCAAGTTTAAAAATCAGTTTTGGAACTATGTTCATGACCTACACACAAACCCATATGATTTGAAATGGTTTTGACAAGTTTCGGTGTGGTAGAAGGTCAAGTCGAGTCATACGTTGAAAATCAAGATTCGAAGAAAGTGTGACTAAAGTCGAGTTTTTTTTAGAAGTCAAGTGTGTTTTAAAAAAAAATTTCACGACCAGTCACTGAATTTTAAAAAAAATCAAAAAATAGCTTTATAAGATGGGCACTCGCGCAGCTTGATTAAGGGCCAACATGCCTTTAATCATTAAACTGGGCGGCTGCCCAGCTTTATACTGGGAGACCGGCCAGTTAAGACAAAAAAAAATTCAGATTTTATTAGAAAAACACACGCATACACACAACTCACACACACCACAAACACAACACAACACACTCACACACACAACCCAACACACACACAAACACACACAACTCGTGGATTAATACCTAAGATTGTTGGTGCAATTCAATCCATTGCATTCAATCAAGGAATGCAAGGTATGCATTTTTTTTCTTCTATCTCTTCTCTTCACATTTTGAGCCGAAATTTCAATCATATTCCCAGGCATATTGAGGAGTTTGAGATTAAATAAATAGTGGTTTAGTGGATTTGTGTGTGATGAAAAAAATCGGGCTTTGATTCAAACATTACTCTCTTGCAACTTAGAGCAACATTTAGTGCCTTCAAGGTGTTTGATAAATTGCCTAAGACGAGATTATTAGGTAAGTAGGGAAAGTCTAGTAATTGGAAATAATGATACGTGTTGGAGATTGTTTTTTATATTGAAATTCACAGAAATTGCATTAGAAAACACCAATAATTTGAATTGCACACCCTAGGCACACCATGGATACAAATCAACAAACTCACAACACAAATTTCGTCCCCCCTTCGTCTAGCCCAAACAACCTCCGTTTAATCTCAAATTTGGGCGTGAGTTGGACCAACATATAAAGTTTCATATGCCCGGAGATCGGTCTGGAAAAGTTCATTCTTTCCTAAAGTAGCTCGATGGTGAAAATCCTTAGTCTGTTTTGGGGTAGAAACGTGTGATCGATCTTTTTATGTTAGTTTAGGGAATGTGAGCGGCATTATATTCATTTATTCAAGACATAACCTATACAATAACATTTTCTCAAGCATGGCATATGTTATTACATTTTGGCACGTGAAAATTGGCAAAGTTTGGGGGTATTCTTCACTTTACCTTATTCTTATGTTTGTTACCTATATGCTTATATTATCTATATTCATATGTAGGTACAAAATGCCACCAAAAAGAAAGGTTTCAACTCAAGAAAAAGGGAGGTCTAAAGTTGGCGAAACCTCAACCCACCGCTAATGAAAATCTAGATGACGGGGATATTCCATGGTTTGTGAATGTTGAGACTCGCGACAATTTTGAGTCGAAGTGGAAAGATAAGAAACTTTATCAAGAGCAGTAGCTCATAATTGGAAGATTTCGGAGGAACGTTATTGGAGAGAATCATACGCCATTGTGGGTGGGAAAAAGTTATTGATACGCCTCACGCGGCATACCCTACATTAGTAAAGGAATTCTTCGCCGACTACAATGCTGACATTGATAACCCAGAATCTTCACACAGAAATCAAACATGGGTTAGAGGAAAATGGATTAGGTTCAGCCCAGCAACAATTGACAGGTATTATGGGTTGAATCACACTCATGTAGAGTCATTACCTGAGAAGCAAGACATGGCACTGGTAGCACATTTTCTATATGGTAGAGAAGTTGATTGGCCACTTAATTCATCTCGAATCCTGCATAACGAGCTAACTCCAGAGCTCAGACTCTTGCACATCATCTTCTGCACAAACATTTACCCTACATCCTAGAGGACGAGTTTCAATGAAGAAAGGGCAAGGTTACTTTATCATATGGCAAGAGTGCGTAAGTTTAACCTGGGAGCCCATATATATGCCTTCATACAAGAGTTGGCCTCGTCCATAGATACTCAACGCAGTATTATGTTTCCTTGCTTAATCAGTGGGATTTGTCTAGTAGCCGGGTACCACTGCTGCCAAGAAAAGAGAGTGTAGCTCCAGATGCACCAATCAGTAGAAGAACAATTGAAAATTCACATGCTAGATTGAGAAGAGCAGAGAGAGTACATCATCTCAAACCAGGACCTCATCACAAGTCCCAGATGCTGATATAGTCCTCCTTAGTAGACAGTTGTCTCAGATGCTGGTAACTCAAGTGAAGCTGGGTAGATCTGTTGGCACCATGACAAATGCTTTGGAGGCAATGTAGCGAACACGGCTGGATATGCAGAGGGAGTTGAAAAGTGTAAGTGTACAAGTGCGAGGGTTTCAGCTAAGTGATGACCGGACACGCTATGATCAAAGAACAATCACTTTTGCCTATAGTCAAGTGAATGAGCAGATGATGCATTTCAGGAGTTAACTGGAGACAATTGATCGGAATGTACCTTGATAGCAAGAACTGTCGAATCTCTCAAAACCACAAGTTCATCCAGTCAGGCAGACCAACCCGACACCTCTACTCATCAGCATCCACCCTCGGGGAGTATCTGATCTTTTACTCCTTAGTTTTGCGTACTTTTGTTCTTACATTGGAGACAATGTAATATTTTATTTGGGGTGGCATAGCTTTGGTTTCCATTTTTCGTCGCATTATTTATATTCATCAGTAGCTGTATTTAATTTTTGTTTTCTGTGTGATTATTGAGTGATAAAACAAAAGGGAAAAGAAGTGAAAAATTCGCATGTTTTGTCTATTTCTTTTATAAATTTGTGTGGGCTTGATAACATTGTCGGCTATGATGTGATTATTGTACTAATATAATTTATAAACTGTGGATATGGTGCTGAATAGATTAACTAATACTTGTTGATGTAATACTTAACGCTCTTTATCCAAGTCGCTCGTGACTGCATGTTGAGTTAGTGATTGGAATTTATTTATTTTTTGACACAAGGTAGAAGAAGAATGATAACCCTCTACTGAATTAACTCGTAAACCACCTTAAAACGGTTTGGAGATGGTTGAGCAATTATAGGGATACATTGAGATAAGTGGGGGCTCCATGCGTAAATTTTGTTGTGTGGATTGTCTAGATCAGTGAGGTGAAGATTAGGTGAAAGCCTTAAGTTGGGATTGGTTTTTGAAGCTAAATGTCTAGAAAAATAAAGAGGGGCATAAAATTTAGCTTGTGTAAACATGACACTTTTTTCCAAGCCTTTATGACTTGAGCAATTAAGCCTATAAGAGTTTAAATTATGGTGCCCTAAAACTAACTGACTTGAGAGTCATCGGCCTAAAACTCACTAAAGGGGGTCATATAGAAAGCAAGAAAGGGAGAAGTTGATAAAAGGTCATCTGATCGAGCCTTTATAACTCGAGTGAATAACCCTGCAAGAATTTAAAACCTGGTGTCATAAAACCAACTGGTTTGGGAATTATCGACCTAAACCTCGTTACAGGTGTTATATAGCAAGCAAATGAGAAGATGACAAAAAGAGAGAGAGAGAGAGACAATAACACGAATAAAAGTCTTTTGACATTTGGTTGATAGAACTATACCTTTGATGTGAGGCAAGTAGCTTAGCTTAATCTTAAGGGTTGAAGCAATCAAATTAGGAGAGCCTTTACTTTTTGACGTGTAAACTTGTAATAGCGAGATCTATCCAAACTAAGAGAGGGTAAGGCCTATAATACTTAAAATTCTAACCTTAGAACACCCCGAGATTATTGAGTGAAAAGAATAAGTTTGGGGAGAGTGTATCTCTCGAGCGATGAAAGGATATATTTGACCACTATGGGTCGAGAATAAACCAATCATAATCTTGATATGTTGACATGAGTTCACACAGACATATTAAGTCTTGCATTTAACAGGTAAATATGGATTTTATTTAGGCACTATTGAAATATTTCTCGTGTTGATTACTGAATTTCAATCCCGAGACACGGCAGGTTATTAAGCCATGCTTTGTGTAGTGTTAAGTCATTATCTTGTTTGAAGACAAACAATAACTCAAGTTCTGGAAATTTGATAAGTGTGTTTTTTACACACTTATTTGACCACAAAACATGACTAATTGTGGATCAAAGCGTTTGAATTATGGCTTAATTTTATGTAATTATGTTTTGTAAGACTATATTGATGAATGTGGCGGAATTCAAGAGAAAAGAAACGAAAAACGATCAAAAGGGAAGAAATCCAAATTATGAGGAATAAGTTGCAACATTTCAATAGTTGATTCGGACCACAAAATGAAGATTAAAGATGTTGCAGGTTCAATTGGATGTAATTCAAAGTCAAAGGATTGAAAATGCAAGAAAAAGGGCTTGAAAGAATCAAAAATCGACTTCGGGGGCTAAAATGCAACATATAAAAGAAGTTTTGCCTGGGTGACAGCCCAGTTATAAAAATTGGGCGATCGCCCCATATGTTTTTCTTATTATCGAGAAGAAAATGTTGGCCTGGTCGACAGCTGAGGTAAATCACGGCGAAAATTTTCTGGTTTCCTTTTCTAATTAAAACTCTTATAGAAACAAATCTTGGGAGTCTTTTAAAGTCTGAGGGACGTCCAAAAATGAGTAGAACGCATTGAGAGGCAAAAAACCACATTTTGGAGAGGATTTTGAGTGGAATTAACGAAAGATTGCACGAAGATCAATAAGATTTATCAAGAATTCATAACCCTGTAATGCTTCCTCTTCAATATATGATGTATTTCGATATTATTTCCATGTTAGGCTAGATATAAATGTACTAGGGGATCGATATACCATGTGATGAGATCTTTAAATTTCTAGTTTTACAATTTGACATCAAAACACGTTTTATTGTTTGAATGATTTATATGCAATTATTGTTTTCCGCAATTAAGGGCTTGTAATTGTGTGAATTTAAGTGACTTGTTCTTGCATTCGAGAGAAGTAGAATAGGTTCGACACTTAGGGTCCAATAGAGGATAGAAATATACCGCTATGCCCTAAGTGAATTTATAAGTGCTTACAAAATCGCATACATTTTTATATATGCACTTGTCATAGAAATATAGGCTGATGATATGTAAAAATAGGTTCAATACAACTCAAGAGAGAGTATTGGATAGATTTGGGAACATTGATTCGTCAGAAACTCAATCGTGCTGTCACATTGTAAAATTAGGGTTTAAGGTGATCGTTGCATGGAAAATTGTTATCCTAGTACGCTTAATTTACATTGAATACTACAAATTTGCGTTCTCAACAGTTGTTTTGCATTCTAGGTTGTTAAAAATCGTGTCTTGCATATTAATCTTATTTCAATCGTAAAAATTGCATAAATTAGGGTTTGCATTCCAATTTAGGGTTTTCTTTCTAAAATTAGGGTTTAATTAGCTAAAAATTCACATTGAGTAATTTAATTTCCGTTAAGGCTACGATAGGCAAAATTAAACTACTCAATCTCTGCGGGATGATATTCGGACTCTAAAAATCCACTTTATTACTTATTAACGAACCGTGCACTTACGATAATTTTAATCGAAAGAAAATATTTCGCCAACAATGAACTTCGCTAAATGCAATTCATCGTGTTCCAGTGCAGCCTGTTAAGGTATATTGTATTTGATTTTTAAGTATTGGACTTACAATTGGTTTTAGAATGTGCTCGAATTCAACCTATTTCGTTTAAAAATATATAAGAAGGCGAAGTTTGTCATCATGTTCAACTGCACACTGTATAATGCATTCAGTTTTCAAATATACGACTTATAATTGATTTTACACCGGACAGTACTCGGATGTCCAGATAGTTTATACCCGCTCAATCAACTGAATAGATTTAATCTCATGCTAGGCATGGATTTATGGTGAATTATATTCATATAAGGTCATTTTTTCCCATGCTCACTGTCGTCCTTCAAAGCTATTTTTGTTAAAGATCTACCAAAGAAAAAAAAAAGTTAAAATCTTGTGATTAGTTTGGTACCAAATACGAAAAGAAGTAGTCAGCATCAAGAATATTTGTAAGCTGAAATGTAAAACAATATGATTTCATTTGCTGCCAGTAGGGCATATGAATGTAATGTAATTGGTAAGATACCTAATAACAATCCTATCCAATCAATATCCAGTTATGTGAAACCTATAAGATTACAGGAAGAAATGGCAGAAGAAATTATAGTCTATAGCCATGCAAATGTTTAGCCCATCTTCTAGCCATGAATGGATCATGGTAATCCCAGCTCTCAACACTGCTAGTCCTTCCACATATGGGAATGGCATCTGCCCTATCATTTCTATCTCCTTTGTCCATTATGCCAACAACAGTTTCGCCCGTCCTTACGTGTTCTTCATCTTCACTGTCTATATAGCTAAACTCCAATCGAACATGTCCCGAATCACCCAAATATAAAGGAATTCTCCTCTCCTCGCCACCTCTGAGTTCTCCGATCCTAACGACCCTAGCGCCTTCCCCAATCCTCAATTGGATGTCTCTGATTGCACCTCCTATAGTTCTTGCAAGGAATTCCTCGAATTCTTGCATGATGAAACCATTTGAAGTACCGTATCCGAACCCTACATGAAATCGATGGATTTTAACCGGAACTTCCATGTCAAATCGATGATAGGATCTGGATGGATTGTCAGACAAATGCAGAATACACGACTCTGGGTTCTTGTGGACCCGATCTTCTAGTATCTTTACTCCTTTCTTTAGCCCTTCCATTGG